TGTATAACCTACATGTTTCAACCTAGAACCAAGGAAACAAACCAAACATAAAACAACATCTGTTTTCAGTTTTTTAAACTATCATAAAGCAACTTTACAAAAACATTTCATATAATTCTATGGTTATTTGCAATTTTCAATAAAAGGAAATATTCCTTTAAAATATTATCCCTTAGGCCAATAAATGACTGGTTTTTAGAATGAATCCAATTATTTATTTCATGTTATAGCAGTATATTAAGATGCTTGCCGATATGCAAACTTTTAATTTCAGTACTAAAATCTAGTAGTCATTACCAGTATGAGTCAAAGAATGAAAAGATAAACAAGGACTTCTATCTAACAGTACAGTACAATTCTACGTATGGTTACTCCAGTTTAAGCCCACTGATGATGTAAGACAGGACACTGTGTAGGATTGCACTGTAAGACATGCCATTCACCAGTTTCTAAAGGCCAGTTCATGCAGTAATTGCAAGAACATCTAGCTATGTTTACCATTCATTTAGCTATCCATGTATTCATATACGAATATCATCTGAAGTGCACAGGGAAATAATACTGGTCTACCTTACAAGGCTGTTTTATTATGATAAGATAAAAGATAGAAGCACTCTGAGCAACGAAAAAGCAATACATAATAAATCATCCCCAACAACAATATGAAGCCACATGGAGCGATTCTCTGTGACCGACAATTAAAGTACTCATTTCTTGAAGCCACACTAAACTCAAGCTTATAATATCTGGGCTACCCTTCCATGGCTGTCATTAAATAGAAATCCCACACACACAGAACAAAAGGGGGCACCACCAGCCATGGGGGGCAGAAGGAGTTGCAGCACCTCAGTGAAGAGCCCTACAAGAAGGCTGTTGTAGACCTAGGTCTTTTCTACAATTGAGCCAGCATTTCAGTAACTTGGTTGCCTTGAAACAGATTCCCCCTCTCCTGATCAAAGCATGTGGGGCTATATGAATCCTGTTTCCTGTTATAGATAGACTGACACAGAAAAGATCACTGTGATATTGTCAATGGCTAGAATGTAAAATTTTTGCTACTTGGCCCAAGCCCCTCTTTGCTAGGATTGGGCTAGCTACTACTTCCGAAACAGGGTTGGCTGCACATCTACAGATTCACAAGTGTAAGGACATGAAAGTGTCAAAGGGAAGATTGCATCCAATTTTAACTAACAAAATGTATCTTGCAGTATTTACAAAGTACTTTGATGGGGAAAAATGACATAAGTACACACCTGTGGAAATTCTTGGAAAGCTCCCATGGTTTCCTGATTTCTATCAGAGGAACCTCCAATGACAATCAAAGGCCTGAAAACACAGACATTATTTCTTAAAAATGCAAGCCTGCAGAATAGGCTTCCCAAGTCCCCCCGGGGGGCGGGGAAACCCCCGCCCCAGAGGCCCGTTCCCCACCGCTGGCGGATCGGGCCCCGGGGGGGAACCCCACCCCAATGTGTGCGTCACCTGGAAGCGACGCGACCACGCCGGGCATGCTGGGGGCGGGGCCACGGACATCTAAGGGAAAACTCTATGCCGCAGCACGGGAGTCCCCCAGTAAGTAGATATTTCAACTTGGCAACCCTACTACAGAAAGACCCAGTACGTATTTGCTCTGACCCTGAAAGAGCAGCGCATGGATTGAAGCAAACAGCATAGCTTGGGGTAAAGCCCCCTTGCATCTAGTAATCAGGAATACAGAAGGAGAGATCCATGCTGATGGTCTACACTGGCCAGCATAGTCAGCTTTAGAGCACTAATCCCACCCTCAGAGAGAGAGGGGGCTAAACTCCAAGACAGTGACTGGCCCAGCCAAAACTGATAACTCCACCCAACTGCGCAGTGGCCACTACTGCCTTTGGGTCAGGGCCACTGACATTTTGAGTCTCATCAAGTGCTTAAAGATTTTATTCTTGCGAGTTTCCACTGATTTTGCAGGAGTAGAATTAACACAGTTCTTATAAAAGCGTAGTGAGCCATTTTGCTTACTCATTACTATTATTTAGCAGTCATACTTTAGACTAGTGTTGGTATCTGCAAAATAAAAACCAGAGGGCTTTGCCTTCCTCTTTAGGATAGAGACATATGATAACTACCAAGCAAGAACATTATCATGTCTTTGACAGACTCCAGATTCAAAGGATAATGGTGACTTGCCAAAACCAAGTTATGATGTGATTACACTGATTAAGCAAAAAATGTAGCTGAGACTGACAGTATGTTTCCTGATGTGCAAGAGTTCTTTCGCTGCATAGCAATTAACACTGAGAAATGCCTGAAGTCTTCAGATTAACTATATGTTATTTGTATTTTACCTATCCCAAAAGGCCACCTTTCTAAACAGAAAAAAAATCTGGAAATAGATACCTGAAAAGTAAAACAATACAGGACACTACGCTATCTTCCTCTGGTTGTCATTACACACTAAAGAAGCACAATATCTTACAGTAGATTAATACTCAGAATCACTAAGGAAAAAAACAAAAGTGTATTACCAGCAATTCATGTTTGCATTTGCCATTCCAGCTAGAGCATGTACAAGACCCGGGCCAGAGACGACAAGGCATACACCAGGCCTAGAGGGAAATAGGTATATAAAAGCACACATGAACAAACTCAAAAATCCAAATGCATCATGTAGAGACATGACTGTGCAGTGTTATGTCAGCAGGATTACTTTGAAAAAAACCATAACCCGAATCTCTTCCTTCAGTTAAGAATATCTCGCTGTACCAAGAAACTCATGTGATGCAGCTCAGTGTCAACACACCAATGCCCTGCCATGATTTCCATGGGTGACCAGGACCTAACTGGGTTCCATTTATGGCCAAGTCCATGTATACTCTTCCACTTTGACTCGTGAAGCTGCTTCACAAAAGACACAAAAACTGCACATTCCCTCTGTAAATCCCACAGTGACTGAAGGAGAGACACAAGCAGCAGCTGGATAGATGACAAGCCTCCCTGAAGGAGTTATGATTTCATTTTTATGAACTGAAGATGTGCATCTCCGAGTCAAATGTTATAGCAATCACTATGATGACTTGCTGCAATCACCTCTTCTTCTGTATCACGAGCAAGCAGCCCTTGGATGACAACGACTCAACGAAAGCATTTGTCACCCCTACTGCCCCTCCCATCATCATCATTGTCTGGCACATCTTAAAATCTTGACTAGACCTGGTCTAGTCGAGACCCCCCCCCCAGCCCTCTGTGTACAGAATAGACTGATTTAAAGGGTTTAAAGGGCTACCATGCCAATTTTATGCTTGAAACAGAGCAGAGCAAAAGCCACATGAGAATGCTTGTCCTGAGAGGGGGAAATGCCCAATGCAGCCCACTGCTCAGAGCAGCAGGATGTGTAAAGTGGAAAAGAGAAAAACAAATAACAAAGAAGGAATATGAAAGTAGAATGGTGGGGGGGGGGGGGGGAGATAAATCTCCTTGATGAAAGGACAGGCACATTTTTTCTCAATATTCCTATAGTCTATAAAACCAACTGCAAATAATACATGCAAGCCTCACTATCAATAATGTTTTTCCATACATGGATTTTTGATTTAGCCAAGATGGGGAACAAAGACCTTCAAAAGTCATTCCCTTTTTTACATTTAAATAGGCTCAAGAGATTAAAAAGGGAAAGTTTTGTCTAATACAGAAACAGAGCAATGGTTACTGCACACACACCATCAGACGCTGTGAAGAGGTCATTGTTCACCAAAGCACATGTGTGCCACATGCCGCTATACGTGTAGCTGTATGTCTTCACTACATACTATATTGCCCTGCTACTAGAAACATGCAAAGAGTGAATTCTAGAAGGAAACCCCAACAAAGCTCCAGAAGTTATGGTCTGATGAAATAAAAGGAAACTTGGGACTGCTTTTGGAACTCAACCGAACTCTATGTCTGAAGACAAACAGAAGCACCCATCTCACCTGCCTGTCAGGTACCCAACAGCAGAGGCAGCATAGGAAGCCTATTGAAGACAAAACATAAAAGATTTAAAGATAAGAATCGGATTTCAGGTGTAATCACAATGGCGCAACATTAGTTTTCATACCTCTCTTATGGACAGCAGGGAATACTGAGTTTGAGCTCTAACCCGCCAAAGCTGAACAGTGGAAAAAATGGGACTTTGGCTCTCAGAAACAATGGATGCCGGTTACTACAGCTGGTTCTGCACTGTCATTCTGAAAAAAGATGAGTGGTGGATGCCCAGAAAACCCCAAATGACTACCACAGAGTATTGCAGGAATCTTCCCTCTGAAAGCAGGTCACCCTTTTCAGAAGCAGATGCTATGGCTCTGGCTCCTAACTGTAAAATTCATAGTTTAAACTATTATGCAAGAACATGGACATTTTTTACACATTTTGCCATCACAGAAAACTATTTTGGGGATTACTTGTGTGAATATTTTTGCCGTATACCAGCAGGTGGCGTCAAAGAGAAAAGATATGGAAGTCAAAACTTACAGAAATTGTCCTGTCAGCAGTGAAGAGAAGTAAATTTACCATAATGCTTTCATTACACTCAGGAGCTCAGGGTGGTATACATGGTTCTCCCCATTTTTATCCCCCGGCAGGGCTTTTTGTAGCAGGTACTCATTTGCATATTAAGTGACACACCCCTAATGTAGCCAATCCTCCAAGAGCTTACAGTAGCTCCTGTAAGAAGAGCTCTGTAAACTCTTGGAGGATTGGCTACATTAGGGGGTGTGGCCTAATATGCAAAGGAGTTCCTGCTACAAAAAGAGCCCTGTGGGCTGGGCCGCAACAGCCCTGTGAGGTAGGTTAGACCAAGACAGCAACTGCCATAAAGTCACATAGCAGACTGGGGATTTGAACCTGGGGTCTCCTAGATCGTAGCCTGACAATCTTAACCACTAGACCAAGCCACGATCCCTGATTTTTCTGTAGCACCACCCACAAGGATACAGAGTCACAGTTGCAGAGCTGCAAACAGCCACCACCACCCTTGGTACTCCTTGCTGTGGTCAATAACATCAGGCAAACCAGGATTTTTGAGCAGCCGCTAGTGAGAATCAGTTGTCTGCTGCACTACTCGCGGTTGATCGTGACCGCTGAAAACTAAGTGAAGTAACTCTCTAGAATATAACATCGTTTTAATTCCTGTTGTATAAATAGCATACAATATATTCCATTTTAAGGACAGATGGACAAAGTCGCTTCAAGCAAAAACGATTGGCTGAACTACCATTTGTGACTGCCTGATTATCTGTTCCTTTCAACTCTGTTGTTTACCTCAGGGATGAAATCCTGTTAGAAGCTTCTGTGTGTGGACTTGGAACAGAAGGCCAGTTCAGCGTGGATATGAGGCCCCATTTGGAAAGTAATTGCTTATGAGAATCTTTAACTTTCTACAAAGTCATTTTATTTATAACCTGCCAATAGGGACTCAAGCTGTTCCCTCCTTCACTTTAGCCTCCCAACAACCCTGTGAGGCAGGTCAGACTGACAGTGTGTGACTGGCCCAAGGTCACCCTACAACCTCCATGACAGAGCTGGGATTTGAACCTGGGTATCCCAGTGACGGAGTGAGCACCCATCACTGGCCCCAGCTCCTGCCAACCTAGCAGTTCGAAAGCAAGAAATTGCAAGTAGATAAATAGGTATCACTTCGGTGGGAAGGTAACAGCGTTCTGTGCACCTCAGCATTTAGTCAAGCCAGCCACATGACCATGGAAAAGTCTTCGGACAGCGCTGGCTCTTCGGCTTGGAAACAGAGATGAGCACTGCCCCCTAGAGTCAGATTCAAATGGCTTTCGAGCAAGGGAAACCTTTACCTTTTTATCCCAAATCCAACTCCAACACTTTAACAACTACACTGCACTGGCTCTCTAAGAGAAAATGTAGGAACTGTATAAAAGGTTAGCAACTCACAAGACAACCTAAAATATTCCTGAATCAAAGTAAACTGGCTGGCTCTTGTGCAGAGGATGAACTCTGTAGAACAGGGCCATTCAAAGAAGAAGATCCCTTTAGCTTTCTACCTGTTTGGACGATGGACTCCTGCAGAAAAACAGGACTTTGCCAATTAACTAAATGAGGGAGGGAAGGACTCAGGATGCTCCAGAAAGGCCAAAACAATGAAAAATGCTGACCATCACTTAAAGAGGGGAGAAGCAGTCGGCCTGCTCAAGACCCCAAGACTTTAGGTAAATCCTGTAGGAAAAGGCTTTAAAGGATAGAGTGGGATTCCCAAACTGTCTACCTCCCAACTTGTTAAAGCACATGTACTTAGTTTGTATTTTCATTCTAATACTTAGTTTGCATTTTCACTCTAGGCAAATGTGACAGAGCAGTTCTATTACCCCTCTCAAGTTATAAAAAATGATACCTGCCCTCTGAATGTCTTATTGCCCAGCATGAAGCAGCTCTCAGAGCACACAAGGGGAAGGGCGAGAGTAGGAATAGTTAAATTGCTAAGAATGCCGGTAAATGCAGAGAGCACAAAAATGAATAGTTAACAAGGAACTTAGCGTGGGAGCAAAACAGCAAGACTATTTATACTCAGAATGGTAGGTGGAAATGTAGTTTTTATGGAGTACCTTCGACATACAAAAGAGGGAAGAAAAGAACTATTCAGGAATTAGAAGGCAATATAACATCATATGTGTTTCCCTTCTTTTTCTCGTTCCCCTTTCCTCCAGGAATATTCATTCCTCATTCCCCTTTCCTTCAGGAAGATATTTTGAATTGGGGTCTTCATTAGCAAGGCTTTTTCTACCTCACAAGCAGGATGTCATGGCAACAACACTTTGTCAAACCGAGTGACAGGCTTAAAGAGCACACAAAACTGTGTGGGTACAAGAGCCACACTTTCCCTTCCACTGTGCAAATACTGTCAGGGCTGCCTTTGATTTCAAAGGTGGAAGTGATGTGTACATAATATTTTTATGTATACTTCTGGTGTAGAAAAAGCCCAGGGTACAGCCCCAGTCCCCCACATGAGCCCAAAGTCTGGCTGAACCAAACAAACAAAACAATGTTAACTTCCCTAAAATGGCTGCTTCAGGAGGCAGAGCCAAGTGGAATATCCCCCTCCTTGAACCTCCCAGGAAGAAACAAAGCCTGAGGCGAGAACAGAGCCATACAATGACTAAGGAAAGCCAAGGTGCTTACCAGTCCTCCTCCTCCTCCAGTGGGGTATCTGTAATCACGGCCGCGGAAAATCCTTTCATTTGAATGAATAGCAAGCCTGGCCTTACAATGGCTCCACTTGTTTTCTGAAATGCTTGGCAGGTGCCAAGGGAAATATAGGTGGGCAACGTGGATGGGCATGGGCACCACATAAAAAAAAACCCTGTTTCATGGAAATAAGTGGTTCTTTCAGGGCCCTAGTCCATGGTTGTTTAGTGCTTTAAAACTAGTACTCTGAATTATGTCCAGAAGCAATAAAGTAATCAGTACAATCCTTTCGACATCAGTAAGACACAATCACGGTAACTAGCACCCATCAACAAAAGCATTGCTGCATTCTGCATTAACTGAAGCTTCCAAACCGTTTTTGTTATATGGGGTGACCAAAGTGCACTTCAGAAACTGAACTGGCATGTGCTCAGAAGACAGATAACCATAGATAGCAGCCAACTTCAGCTCATAATGATAATTTTTGCATCAAACACCCCCTTCTTTCTCTTCCTCACTAAATGCAAAATTGCTGTATCAACAGGTGATGCATGTATTCCTCAGCCTGAGATGGTAGCACCCCATAAGATGTTTCAGAGGCTGCCAGCTTGAACTAGCTGCACAAGTCGATACGGCTGCTATAGATTCCCAGAAAATAACCTACATCTGTGCTGTCACTCTCAGCAACAGTTTTGAAGGAAGTGCAGAGGGGAGAACATGTAGAAGATGGAATCATAATCAGGCCACTTGATCTGCAAGGGAGCTCAGATCATCGGCATGTAAGATGAAGTTTCAACACAGAACGCTTAATGAGCGAACAACATATAACACAACTAGCACCACCACAGCTACTTACAGCTTGTTCATTGCGCATTCCAACATACTTAATTCCACTTGCTTGAGCAGCAACTGCTATTTCAGTTATGGGAACACCAACAATACCAAAGATGTACTCAACATTCTGAAAAGAACAAAGAGTTATAGAAAAAAAATCAGTTCTCAAAATAATTTACCTTCAGTTAACCAAATCTTAAATGCTAGCCAAAGCTCAACAGTCATTTGTACGGTGTCAATTTCTCCAAGGACAACTGTAGGTAAATACTTAAAAGCAAGCTTCTAACAACCCAATCTACATTGCTGGTACATTCAAGTATAAAACCTTTACATCCAAATCCTTTTCAAAACATTCGCTACTGAACTCTGAATTATGTCCAGAAGCAATAAAGTAATCAGTACAATCCTTTCGACATCAGTAAGACACAATCACGGTAACTAGCACCCATCAACAAAAGCATTGCTGCATTCTGCATTAACTGAAGCTTCCAAACCGTTTTTGTTATATGGGGTGACCAAAGTGCACTTCAGAAACTGAACTGGCATGTGCTCAGAAGACAGATAACCATAGATAGCAGCCAACTTCAGCTCATAATGATAATTTTTGCATCAAACACCCCCTTCTTTCTCTTCCTCACTAAATGCAAAATTGCTGTATCAACAGGTGATGCATGTATTCCTCAGCCTGAGATGGTAGCACCCCATAAGATGTTTCAGAGGCTGCCAGCTTGAACTAGCTGCACAAGTCGATACGGCTGCTATAGATTCCCAGAAAATAACCTACATCTGTGCTGTCACTCTCAGCAACAGTTTTGAAGGAAGTGCAGAGGGGAGAACATGTAGAAGATGGAATCATAATCAGGCCACTTGATCTGCAAGGGAGCTCAGATCATCGGCATGTAAGATGAAGTTTCAACACAGAACGCTTAATGAGCGAACAACATATAACACAACTAGCACCACCACAGCTACTTACAGCTTGTTCATTGCGCATTCCAACATACTTAATTCCACTTGCTTGAGCAGCAACTGCTATTTCAGTTATGGGAACACCAACAATACCAAAGATGTACTCAACATTCTGAAAAGAACAAAGAGTTATAGAAAAAAAATCAGTTCTCAAAATAATTTACCTTCAGTTAACCAAATCTTAAATGCTAGCCAAAGCTCAACAGTCATTTGTACGGTGTCAATTTCTCCAAGGACAACTGTAGGTAAATACTTAAAAGCAAGCTTCTAACAACCCAATCTACATTGCTGGTACATTCAAGTATAAAACCTTTACATCCAAATCCTTTTCAAAACATTCGCTATTGACTGTTTCTGGCCTAAATTAAGGTGTTATTTTAACCTGTAGAGCCCTAAGTAGTCCCAGTAAGCCTTCCTGTATGAACCCCATTCCCCAACAGACATCTATTAGTGAAGCCCCATTAAAGACTCCATGTAATGCAAAAGTAGATTATTTTTCCATCAGGCTTCTATCTTGCTATGAAGCCATCCAGTTGTGATCCAAGTTTAGCTCAAATAGACTTCTGCTTTTTGGGGAACAGCAAGGAAGTAGCCATGCTCCTGTTCTACACATGTTCCAGGGGTGAGGAAAAGGGGTGTGTGTACATATGAATATAACTAAATCAATACATTCTTAGTTAGACCAGTCCCATATATAATGTGCATGCACACTTTAACATCAGGGAAGAAAACCCATGAATCAAGCCTTTAGGATAGTATCACATTTTGCTCCTATCCCTACCTTGTTATGAGAAGTTAAAAAACACATAGGGTGACATTTTGAATTGTTATAAAGCAGTAAACACTGACTGAAGGAAAGAAACTCTGCTAAAACATCACATGTAACGATTAACTAATTAAATTACTGGCTTTCTAAAAAGAGTGTTCTCCTTAGATCAAAGGCCACACTGATGAATCAGTTATGGTGGAGTGGTATGGCAATTATTTACAAAATAATGATAAGGATGAAGAAACAGCTACTTTAGCTAATGATTAGGAATAGCTAATATTGCAAGAAACTGTACCTTTGTTTTTAGTCTGCAATCTTGTCTGCTTTAATGATACTCATAAGTGCTTCAAGAACTCTTGCTAAATTGAAATTCAAAATGATCCTTGGGGCAAGGTAAGAGACTCTGGAGATGAGTAAGAGACTCATGCACAAACAAGTTCTTTTTTTAAAAAAATGCTGAGAGTGAGTACGATATGACCTGATATAGGAAACTTTTGTCCCAATTTGCCACTCTCCCCACGTAGCCAAAATGAGAAACTTTTGCAGTCCTTAATATAAGAAGCATCAGGACGAGAGTGATTCATTTCGAAAGTAACCTCCTTCAGTGAGCTCTGCGTGACCACCTGGTGATAAAGGGAACTGGGCACTAAGTTGCATCATAGGGTTGCCAGGTCTGGGCTGGAAAATACCTGGAGACTTTGGAGGTGGAGCCAGGAGACAGCGGGGTTTGGGGAGGGGCCTCAGCATGGTCCAATGCCATAGAGTCCACCCTTCAAAGCAGCCATTTTCTCCAGGGGAGCTGATCTTGTCAGCTGGAGATCAGTTGTAAAAGCGGGAGATCTCCAGGCCCCACCTGCAGGCTGGCAACCTTATTGCATCAGTTGCTATAACTCGGAGAGATATGAATTGATCTCCCACCCCTGCCCTTCCCGTGCAATTTTGAAACGAACTGATCCTCCCCGGTTCCCGTACCGAGGTCAAAACAATATTTCCGGTTGCTGCTGAGTTCAAGGGTCACACTCACTTGCATCTTTAGGGCCTCCGCGATTAGGTTAGCCCCACTGACGCATTCCTCTTCCACGCTTTGAGGCGCCATCCCGCGTTCGCCTAAAATTGCCAAATCAGAGAAGACCGAACACCTCCGTCTCCACAGGGACAGGTAACCTCTCGTTGGCGTTCTGTGGGATCGACAAAGTCCCCGTTTACTGTATAGACCGCTAGAACAGCCAATAGCGGGGAAGAGACAACGGAGTGGGCGGAGCTTTCAGATAGTCACCGCCTACGCCACAAACTTTCATGTTGGGGCAGGCAAGGGGTGGGGGAGAGGCAGAGCCAGAGAACGGGTTTTGATAGGCTAAGTGTGCCTAAACAGTAGCCAATCAACATAGTGCGTGGTAGACTCTTGGCTCGCAGTGCAGGAGCTTCTGTGCGCAAAACAGGGAGGCGGGGAGAGGCAGTTAGTGCCTGCCAGGGCTGGAGCAGAGTCGGTAATGGCGCAGCTGGATTGGCGTTTTTAGAATCGTATAGGCAAGATGGGGTGGGGGTGAAGAGTGCTCCGCCAGTTGCACAGGGAGTAGCTGTGTTAATCTAGTGTAGTAAACACAAAACAAAGAGAGTCCTGGGGCACCTTAAAGTCTCTTTTCCCTTTCCGTTTGCGAACAGTGGAGTTAAGCCTTCATGAAATGCAATATGTGACATTTCTATGCGAATCTCAGAAGTATTCTACAAGGACAGCGACTGTTATAGCAACTTCCGCCTAATATAATTTATGAGGGCTACCTACAGCTTGCCTACATCTTTTTGTCTCTGAAACTGCTGTGAATATGTGTTGCATGTAAAGGGCACAGACTACAGAAGCTTATATTAGAATAAAGCCGTTATATCTTTGATGCCTTTTTAAAAAAACATTTTCAGGTACCAATTCTTCAGCCTAGACATATTTCAAGGTCGTTTTCTTGCTTTCTCCTGTATCCTGAAAGAGCACTAAAAAGAGACAGGAAAGAATGCAGGCATGGATGATTTGCATACAAGTAGTACTCGTTTTCCTGAAGGCTATATAGTAGAGTGTTATAGCTTGTCCAAAGAACAGCATACTTTTTTAAAGCCTCTACAGAAGGCAAAAAATAAATGAAATACCCAGAAAAGAGCAAGAGTCCAGTAGCACCTTAAAGGATAACAAAATTTGTGACATGGTATGAGCTTTCATGGGTCACTGCTCACTGCTTCAGATACAGCTAGAACGTTGAGTCCATCTGTCCTACATATTTGGAAAGGAGTGATTTAAGATGCCGAATGACATTAGCAGGCAAATGACAATAGCAGGCATGATTGGATTAGGTGTGATATGCAGAGGGATAGTAGGCATTGACGATATCAGTATTGGTAATGAGACAGGAAACCTAGGTCTCCATCTGGACTTACTTGAGATCTAGATTTCCTGTTGTTGAGTCCATCTGTCCCATATATTGGAAAGTGGAGTGATACGAGCTTTTGCTACAACCTTCCCATATGGAGGTTACACTCCAGCCTTTGACCACCCTCTCCTTCTCCATTATACCCTCTAATCCCCCCTAAAATTCTAAGAAATTCAATTTACTAACCATCAGGACATGTTTTACTTGATCAACATGCATATACATTGAATTAAAAGTAGCAAATAATGTATTACATGGGAGATCCTGTTTCCAGTGTGAGATCTTGCTTTCCAAAAGACAAAAGGGCAGGGACAGCTATTAGGGAGGGCTGGCCCATGACCCATTTCCAGAGGCTTTGCACTTTTGGTCCCAACCCACAGGTTAGGAAATACTGTTCTAGAGTACTGTGCATTCTATACTGAATTTAATAACCTACCATAGTATGCTAGCAAAGTAATATACAGTGGTTAACATTGTGTTCAAATCAGATTGAGTAAATTTGACAGGATAAAATGACTGCTTTGGAAGGCAGATTATATGGTATTATATCCCTGTTGAGCTCCTGACCCCAAAACTCAACCACCCTTAAATCTCCAGGAATTTCCCAGCCCAAAGTTGGCAATCCTAACAGGTACTACTCTAAGGCACAGAAGGAACTGGTATACTGCATTCCTCAAAAAGTTTGTTTTTAGGGTAATGCAGGAGCTCAGATCAGTGCTGAACATGCATGACAGCACAGTTTGCTCCCTGCTTTGCAAATGCCTATCCAGCTCAAATACACATTTCACAATATCTTTTGTGTTACTCGGTAAGCCATTCAGATACCAAACATGCAAATTCTGGTTTTTCATAGCAGTCGCTTGGTATAAATCCTACCAGTCCTCTCATTTTGCTCCCTCACACTCTTGCCTGGTGTATCCGAATTTATGCCAAATATTGGCTGCAGTCACACGGAGCATTAGCCACGCTACAGAGACGGAAGATAGGCGGATTTTCTGGGCGCGATCACACCGCAACATCTGGGAAGCGTAGAGCTCCCATGGCGAACCCGAGGCTTCCTGCCGAAGATGCGGAGTTAAAAACTAGTACCTCCGAGGTACTAGTTTCTGGAAACCGCGGGGCAAGGGCTGGCGTCTGATGGCGTTTCCGGTGGTGGCATCCGGCGCCCGCCCATGTCCCTTCGCAAACAAGTTTTTTCCCCCAAGTCTCCACAAGATTTGCACAAGCACCCAACGGCGCATGCGCACAAAGAGGAAAGCGAAAGTGCCGTTTCGGCTTTTAAAAAAATGACCCCGTTTGTCACGGCAGCGGTGCCTAGCCATCGTTTGTGTGATCGCGCCGCACGGCTCCTTTGCCGCGCTGCAGGATCGTCGTGTGATCGCCACCCTCGTTTACCCACCAGCGCCGAGGGAAGGACCCGTGGTGTGCTGCCGGCGTGTTGGATCGCGTAATCGCTAATGTAACTGCGCCAGGGCAATTAGCCACGCCTCCCCCCCACGATATCCGGCCCGTGTGATATATACAAAAACAACTTTTCAGAACCAGTGACAATGGGGGGCAGGGAGCGGCAGCAAATAAGGGTCCTTGTACTGCAGCTGTGGCACTAGTGTTCACAACCAGAAGTACAGAAAGTGCCATTGCGAATCTTGAATTTCTGTGCCTGCTGCGGCAGCACATATACTAAAATTGGAATGATACTGAGAAGATTAGTGTGGGAATCTTGAAGATTCTGTGCTTGGCCCTGTCAGTTGTATAAGTTAATGGATGCTGAAGAGTACTCTGTACAAGTTACGAGAAACCAAAGTGCTGAAACAGTTGTTAAAACTCCAGTGCATGTGAGTAGGCCCTAAAACAAAAGGGGAAAATGCATCATTTAATGGACACCAAATGTTTTATCATCTATGCATTTAAACTGAAGTCGGGGCTGTTGTAAATTACTATGTGCTAAATTTCTTTGAATTATTATCATTAAGAAATGCAGCACAAGTGGGTAAATTGCTAAAGGATTTTCCCATGTGGAACAGATTATCTAGAATACTGAGTGCTGCCCAGGCAAACTTTGCCAGCAATTAATTTTGGAAGAACATTTATGGTGTTCGGAGTTCACCTAAAAATAGCTCATGCCAGAGATCATATTTGTCACAGTATTACCCAGAAGTATTTTAATTTTCTATTGTCAGCAGTACTGTCTCCCAGAAGTGGAGCACTGCGACACTCAATGCCTGTTCTTCTCAGCAGCATTATAATAATTGTACAATTCACAAGTTAGTGCCAATATTTCCTGTGCCCGTGTTGTGAAACAAATTCATGCTATTTGTGGACCCAACATAGGTACACTTAGTTGGAAGGGCAATCTTCAATTTTAATATTCCATGTGGATTTCTCCATTCAATTTTCAAACTTAATAAGATAACAGCTACAAGCATTAGACATTTTAATTGCCTTATGTGCATTATCACTCATGTTCCACTTGCATCTGTTTTCCATTTTAGATTCATGGCAGACATTACTTGGGGCACCACCTGCATACTCATTCTCTTCTTTGAAGTTCTCCCCGTAGACGTCCACACCGGGGGACATTACATAGCTGCTGTGTATGAACATCATGTCATCTTGAATCCCAATCCAACCATAGTTACTGACCGACAGTCTGCTTTAGAGCTGATGAACAGAAACCTAGATATTTATGAGCAGCAAGTGATCCTTGCTGCTAAACAGGTAAGATAAAATATATATATCATAAAGGAGTAGAAGAGAAAATATCAGGAGCCATTTAGGAAGCTTGCTGTTGCAGACAGAAGCCTATATTTCAATAAACTGATCATTAAAAGATGCTGAACAAAACTAGAGTCCAGTGACACCTTTAGGACCAACAAAGTTTTATTCAAGGTATAAGCTGTCGTGTGTACACACACTTCTTCAGATACAGTGAAATTGAAGTTACCAGTCCATATATATAGGTAGAAGGTAAGCAGCAAATTAGCATGCAACATGATGAAGATGTTTAACAGATGCAAGGACTAAACAGGCATAACAAGCTTAGTTTATATGATCACCATTTGTTTGGATTTAATTCCTGGGGGGAAACATAGTGAGGCAAATAAATATATCAAAATTGGAGATTGATGTGTAAATGTACCCTTAATTGTGGCATGCTGAGAGTAATTAACAGAAACCCTGTTGTTACTGTAGCTCATACCCTTTTGATGCAATATATTACCCTGAAATTATTAGAGAAGAACCTGCTAGGACTTGAAATAACCTTCCAACCTCTATATTTATATTAACTGACCATTAGGAAGACTTTAATAGGATGGACTGGCATACCTTTCTTAAATCCCCAGACATGAAGGAGCTTGCCTCTAAATGTTAAAAAGGGGGTGGGGGAAGAGAACATTCTCAGCCCTGCTATAAGCATGTTGTCTCTGGTATTTCTAACACCATTGTCATTCAACACACACACGTTACCAGTAGCAACTTGTCTCCTGTGTGGCAGTCTCATTGAGGGTGAAGCTGACCATTCATTGTCCTGGCGTAACCTGACAGGCTGGGATATACTATGGAGAGGTACAAGATGTGGTGTGTCAGAGGTAGACAGAAGCACTGGCATTTCTATTTCATAATAAACATGAAGACATTTTGTGTGTTTGTGACCTAATGCTGGCCCTCTTGTGTGTCTGGGTTACAATTGACAAGAGTGGCCACGGAGGAGTGGCTCTTTGGAAACTGGCAGATAAAGGCCAGTATTCAACCACAGAAAACTGTTTGGAGTGTATGTGAAATCTTTTGAGATGGTTTGGGTGACAGTGGGACTGTACAAGGACATTATTCAACTAAGTGAAGAAAAAACAATTTTTTGAGCATGGGATCCTCAACTGTGTCAACTCTCTGGGCAGCAGCCACTCATCTGTTGAAGAAGGCTACATTAGTAGAAAGGAATTCAGTTTCATGGTGCTGCAAGTACTTGACACCAAATAATTTTTGCCTGACTTATATCAGGGATGACTGCTAAGAACCTCAGTGCTTGAGTCTTCAGAACCCCTCATATGTACAAGAGAATGGAACAGGGATTACTAGGACGGTGAGGAAAGGATTCTGAAGGATCCTCTTATATCATGGCTTATGTGGACTTGCAGTGCACCATGAAGTCTGAAGCAGCAAGACTTCAACCACTGGCTCAGCTACTGTTCCATACCTGTGGATCACATACTTTCAGGAGGCTGAATGCAAGGTGGTGGTGCCTGGCAACATTCTCAACATGATGATTATATATAATAGCTAACGAACAAGGGGAGTAGGTTCAACCTACAAGAAAAGGTGAACGTTAGCACAGAGCATCATCAGTACTCCCAGCCAGGATGACAATATTTACTGCTGGTACCCTGATCTGAAATTTCAATGGTCCACGAGACACAAAACACCCGTAAGGTATATGCATCATGTTTTCAGTGTGTCTATCCCCATATACCAATAATATACAAGAGATAGATAGATTCAGGTGGGTAGCTGTATTGGTCTGAAGCAGCAGAAAGATGTTGGAGTCCAGATATATCTGAATATATCTGGAAAAGTGTGCATGCGTGCGAAAGCTTATACCTTGAATAATCTTAAAAGGTGCCACTGGAGTAAAACTTTGTACAAGGCAGAAACACTGAGTTCATTTGGGGAATGTCTAAAAATGGGATTTGTTAATTTTTGTGTCTGTTCTTCACTGTGTAATAGTTACCTTGTTTACAGGAGCTGTACTTTACATAGACAATGAGGGATACTGCAATTTCAGGCTGTGTACATAACCTAGCTATTCAGAGCAGTATGCATGAACATGTTTGTCTGTTGGCAAGAGTTCACCATGGCAATAGGCAGCAAGCATTCATCATACATAAAGCACAAGTAAAATGAGACATCTGAAAAGGGCTCCTGTGTGTGCAAGCTTTCAAGTTCTCCAGGATGGCAAAGGAAAAAATGGAATGCAACCAGTAGAAAACGTAAGAAGCTGTAGTTGATCAAAAGTGTCTGTACAACAGCTCCCTTAAAAAGGCAAGAGCAAAAGAAAATGGTCCTTATCTTAACAGATTAGTTTTACTTGATGCACAAGTAAAAAGTCAATAGAAGTCAAACTGGGATAGTATTACCTAGAGATGGTTTTTCAACTAAAGAAAAAATAGCCAAGGACTCACTGTATAATATTATCCCAACGTCTTCAGATTCAGTTAAATGTTGCACACTATATTCATGCATAGCCACTGTCGGCTTCTCCTTGGAAGAGATTTCATGTAATTCCTTCTGTTGGCTCACAGACATCTTTATTTACCATTAGGGAGCAAAAATCATTGTTTTTCCTGAAGATGGAGTTCAAGGCTTCAATTTCACCAGGACATCCATTTATCCTTACTTGGATTTAATTCCTGATCCTGATTCTCTGACTTGGAATCCATGCAAAGAAAGATACTTGTTCAAGGACACTGAGGTATCAGTTGCAGAATTTCCTAATGTAGTAAAACTAATGTAGAAAAAATCATGCACTTCAAATGTGGAGAAGAATGTAGCACAAACATAAGACAGACTAGAAGTCTTTAATAGCATTTAGAGAAAGGAGAGCAAATATTATTAAGGAATAGAGTAACAGTGTAATCCTAAACAACAGTTACACTTGTCTAATCAAGGAGCACAGAAGAGTTTCTTTGGATTGCTTTGTCAGTTATGTTACTTTACTGAGTTCCTAATGCAATATGGATATTCTAAATGTTTTATCCTGGCAGCCAACCTGGATATTAAACATTCTTTTATTACTTATACATTTAGATCTTTTTGTGAACTCTAGTAGTTCTATATTCAGAAATTTAGGGGTGCGTCTACTCAAGGTCAGATTCTAATTGCACTGTTCCTTTGAATTCACAGCCATCTGTTTCTATCATTTTACCATGTTTAGCTGTTAAATGAGCTCTACCTACTCACCCTATTGATTCAATTCCCTCCGGCCTTCAGACAAGTGACTGGTACTGTTAAAGGGACTGATGGTGGACTGGATCTATAAATGGATGTCTGAAAGTTCAGCATGTAGAGCCTCAAATGCAACATACACAATGTTTTTTACAGCACTCCAAGCTGTATGCTTTTGCACATAAACCAAACTCCCTTGCTGAAGGCGGTATAGGTAGGAGGATAGCTTTCTTAGGGCAAACAGGCTCTCTTGGTACAATTGTTTAGGTTTCCACTTTACAGAATTAATGTTGTTCAAAAAACCCTTTCAAAATCAGTTTCAAACAAACATCTGTTAACACCCCCCCACCCCCGTTTGCTTACTGTAAGTTTTTCTGTATCTTCTACAAAGTTTACTACCACTGAGAATGAAACCTTTGGATCCAACCTGCTATAATGAATGTAAATGCCCTGAGCTCGCTTGTGGGGGAGGGCAGGATAGTAAATCTCGGAACTAAATAAATAATGTGGTGGTGATGGATGGAAAGTGCCGTCAAGTCACACCCAACTTATGACAACTCTGCCAGGTTTTCAGGGCAAGAGATGTTCAGAGGTAGTTTGCCATTGCCTGCCCCTGTGTAGCAGCCTTGGACTTCCTTAGTTGCTTAACATCACTTTCATAAACACTGGCTATCCTGTCATGGAAGGACCATTCTAATTAACACTCAGTCATAGGTCTACATCTAAAAGTGTATGGTTAATGTAACAGCTAATCAAAAACATCACCAAAGGCTTGTAGCAATATTGTACAGCATAACACTTTAAAAATACTGTTTCTTCAGGTTCTTCATCGACTTAGCTGTCTGGCACAGAAGAACAAAGTGTTTATTGTGGCCAACATAGGAACTAAGCAGCCCTGCAAGCACAGTGATTCCAAGTGCCCACCAGATGGAAGGTATCAGTTCAACACTAATGTAGCATTCAGTGACAATGGTACTCTCATAGCCAGATACCGCAAACAGAATCTGTATTTTGAATATGCCTTTGATACCCCACCACAGACAGATTACACACTTTTTGATACACCCTTTGCAGGCAAATTTGGACTCTTCACTTGCTTTGATATCCTGTTCTATGAACCAGCTGTGAGCCTGATCAAGAAATACAATGTGAAACAGATTGCATATCCTACTGCATGGATGAACCAGCTCCCACTCCTGTCCGCTGTAGAATTTCAACGAGCGTTTGCAACCACTTTTAACATCAATTTTTTGGCAGCAAACATTCACCATCCTAACCTGGGTATGACAGGGAGTGGAATATACACGCCAATCGAGTCGTTCATTTATTATGACATGGAAAGTGTTAACGGTAAGCTTATACTGGCAGAAATTCCTGTCATTGCATCACAGAATGAAAGCCACATGGATAACATTACAATACCTGACAGTAACACGCAGAAGAATGCTCCAGTCTTCACTATGGACAATAATGTTTGTCTTAAGGAAGATAAAGCCCACTGTGGAAAGGCACTCAAAGAAGCCCAGCAAACCTTTCCCATATTTTATGGAGAAATTATGTATGATAATTTTACTTTAACGCCCATAACAGAAACTGAAGGCAACATCCAAGTCTGTTCCAACACCCTTTGCTGTTATTTAAATTACCAAAGATTGGTTTTATCAAATGAATTGTATGTGTTGGGGGCTTTTGATGGGCTACACACAGTGCATGGAACCTACTATGTACAAGCCTGTGTCTTAGTGAAATGTGCTAGTCTTGACTATAGCACTTGTGGGCAAGAAGTCACAAATGCCACTGGACTGATAGATTTTCAACTCCAAGGAAATTTCAGCACTGCTTTTGTCTTTCCTCTGTTGCTAAGATCAGGGGTTACACTGGACTTTGCTGATCATCTGGGCTGGAAAAACAACTACTACTTCATGAAGAAAAAGGGAGCTTCTACAGGCTTAATAACAGCTGGTTTATATGGACGATGGTATGAGAAGGACTAGAATGAACATTTGATACAACCAAAAAAGTGCACTAAAATGAATAATCTGAGAATCTAATAAAAAAGAGAATATTTTCCAGTAGTGTAGTGTTGATTGGCCTCTAATTGTACATGCCTAAAACATGGTTTTAGGAGTATTTTATCAGCTGCAAAGTTCCACAGATTCTGGCTGGCCTGCAGGGGCGTAGCCAGCAAATTTTGGTTGGTGGGACAGGGAATTTAATTACAGTAATATATTTTTTTTAATCCACCCCCATGAGGTGCTTTGCAAACCATTTTTCTCCCGGGGAGGGTGCAGGGGGTTGCACGCATGCTCCTTTACTACAGTGTAAGCCGCTTGCTGCTTCCTAGAAAGACTCCCCAAGCCTCCCACCCCGGCCTGGAAACATTGTCCATCCCCTCCCAATGTGCTCACTCTCCTCTGCACCCACACAAGCAGCTGGCATTAGCCAGCCCCACACCTAAGCTACCCAGCTGTGCTTGGCAGCAAGGAGCATTTGGGCCTCGCCACTGGCAGATACTTTCCAAATCTTTGGGTTGCTTCCTCCTGGCAGCTGAACTTCTCCCAAGCTTTCCATGGTCTGGCTGGAGGCAGTCTGGCTGGGAGGGGAGGAAAGAAGTGGGACGTGCGGGGGGGGGGGTGTCCTTGTAAACTGAGACACATTCCAAAGAGCTCTTTGAGAGGAAATACAAAGCCTGGAGATGTGAGCAGACTGAGGCAACAGCAGCAAGTTCAAGCTGGTTTCTCCGTTTCAGAAGTTCTTTCTGCTGGAGCTGACGAGTAAATCTGGAGCTGGAGAGGTAAATGAGGCTGCTGGGCATGGGAATGAGAAACAAACTGAAGGGAGGGTGGAGCTTGCAATACAAATCAGGAACTGGCGAGGTAAAACAGGCTGCGGGGAGGGCACACACAGCTTCCCTAATTAATTAAAAATATTTTTTTAAAAAATGGTTTCTGCCAGCAGGACTTGTGGGGTGTGGCTGCTGAGGGGGCGTGTCCCTGAGATGCCTCACCGTGGCTACAGCACTGCTGGCCAGCAGTAGCAGTTCATGCACCGAGCACCAGTGGCTTAGAAAGGTGTGAACATAAAGATTTGGTGGCAGAAGCTGCCAGTGTATATAAAAGTACCAGAGAAGTGCAGAGGCTTCATCTCAAGTTCTCTTTATAAACAAATGATTACTGTGATCTGTATGTGTCAGTTTTTCTGTCCCCACCTTTTCCTTGTGCACATAAGAAAAACCCACAGAAGAGCCTGAGTAAATATAAGAAAGAATGGCAGATGTAACACTATTTTGATTTCTGACCAATACATTCATTTCAGAGTTCCAAAACTTGACATTATTCACTGATCACCTTTGCTTGCTTCTTAAAGTTGATTACCATATTTCCTGAATAGTCTGTTTACATTTTTCTATTGAAAGAATTGGAATAGTAATGGATTCTTACCTTTCATTTTATCCACTGTCTCTACTAGGGATTGGCATGAACTGGGAAGATGCTGTTCAGTTGTGGCATGCACTTTTTGTGAAACACAAACTTTTAAGCATCAAACGAACTGGTTGGGTTTGTGAATTGGTAGAACAATTCCTTCCCTGAGTGCTAGAGACACCAAACTCAAGGGATCACTGGCTCACTCTCCTCTACCTGCCCTCCAAGTTTGGTGAGGGTTTGATTTACGGGGTCCAGGTTACAGCCCCCCAAAGAAGGTGCCCCCAGGAAAGTGCTGTCTGGGGAAATGACAGGTGGAGGCTCAGGAATATACAGAATGGATACTGTGCAAGCTAGAGACATCAAAGTTCATGGGACCTCCACCAGATGCTCCTCTACATGCCTCCCATGTTCTGCTTCCCCTTTTCTTTGAAGTCTGTTAAACATTTTGATTGAGCGGAGAGTCTATCTGGAAATGTATCTGTTCATGAACTGGCACGAACCTCCATGAACTGCTTGAAAGTTCATGCCAGCTGACCTGCCATGAACTTGAGTTCACGAACCGCGTGCCCATCCCTGTCTCTATAAAACAAAGCGTTTGATTGTCTTAACAAGCATTCAGTTGTCTCTAATCTTTATCTTCTGCTTAGTGCACTAACCCAAAATTGTAGCATCGTGCCTTTGATAGTTGACATCTAGGACTTAAGAGTTTCTTTTCTTTGTGCCATGTATCTAAACTAAAATTGATTATTAGGGCTATCCATCTTTCTTCCTGGGTTTTGGAACCAAATAAGTTCTCTAAGTAGAAGACTACCATCAAGAGATATTTCCAAAACCAAGACCCTCCCACCCAATGTATATAGTTCTAATCCTTTATTGCTGCTCCTCTAACTATTCAGGGACCTCTAAGCCTCCCATACAAGAAGGTCTAAGAAGTGTTTTCTGAATCAAAGAATCTTCTTAGAACATTTAGAAAACAATGCATGTGAAACTAGACGGCTACATTACCAAGTCTTGTGAAATTTACAGGCCTCTGATTCCAGCAACAAACCATCTCTTTCACCTAAAGAGCATTCAGGATAGTTGTGTAACAAAGCAAACAGTGGTTTCCAGACTCTATTACAACAGAGCACAAGATCCTTCTTGTATTTGTTAGCCAGGTACTACTGGCAAAAAATACAAATTCCCTTCAAAGTACATAAAAAAGTAATTAAACACCAGTTTAGTGACACAATAACCTTTAAGTATTCCACTTTTCAGTGTTTACTTTAGAATTAAGAGTAATAAAAGGCTTTGGATAATAGATTTATAAATCTTAGGGATCCATTAAAAGGCCTTTTTAGAATCAACACTTAAATTATCCCACACTGATACACGTATTATTCATTAAATACAACTCTCACATCTGGGTTTTATTATACTCTGTAAAATATACACAGGAATCTTGATGTACTCAAAGAGTGCAGGTAAATACAGTATTCAAGCAGTTGCTATTTCTATGTACATGCTCATTAATTCTTCAAAAACCCACAAAATTATCAAATAGATCAAAATACTGTCCTGTGTTTCCACACTTTGTTCAGAAAACAAGCTGATAATTTACAATGGCATTAGGGTTTCCAGTTTCACAATACAAAAAGGATAAAAGGTGGGGTACAGTTTATAGCAATTTATTTGTATTTTACCTCAACATGCAAGAAAATGTTCTTGCATGTACATAAGCATTTAATTATAACTGTTATCTTTCAATTAAAGCAGAACCAAATAAAGTAAATACCTCTACTTAAACAGAAACTTCAGCTTAGGTTGGTAAAAAGTTTTCCAGTCTTCAATTTTTTACAGTAGCCTGTTATAAATTAGAGAAACTTAGAATTCATTTTAATTATAGCAGAGGGAACTTATCTTTTGATAAGCTGCTAGACAATAGTATATTATGTTCCCGAAGATCCGACACTGTACCTGTTTGATAAGGAAACTATTTTTATCACCCATAACCACATCCAGTGCCTTAAAACCCTAGGAGTTTTTTAAAAAATTATATACACCATAGAGGCACAAATCTCCTTTTACTTTATGATGTAGAAGATTGGGTGAATTGTAAAAAAATTCCATTCCTCTAAGGCAGCCTATCAGAGTGTCAGGATATTGCAGTTCTGTTTTTGGTGCAGTCTCACTTGTCAAGGTAATTATCATTCTTGTATTTTGAATAAAAAATATTTTAACACAGCAGGATTGTTTCTAAAGGGGGCAGGGGAATCTGCACTCATGACTGCATCCCTGACTCACCTTCCTTTATTATACTTGTATAAATTTCACCCTGACTGCAACCTGGCTAAGCTGGCTACAGTTACAGTACTGTAAGACTTTGACAAGTTCTTTTCCATCTCATCTGAAAGAACATACACAAGTGAAAAGCACATCTCCTTTTTTTTGTGGTACATTTAATAGTGTCGGAAGGCTGTTAAACGATTAAAAACAAATCAACATTTAAAACCAAGTCTAGGATTATTTGCCAGAATTAATTCAAGGGTTGGTTAAGACTATTTACTTACTTAATCTATTCAAGTTTTCTCAAAAAGTTTTTTTTAATTAAAAAGTGTAAGTTATTTGGTCCTTTGGCAATTTGCTGCACAAACAATGCCTTCTGTACCAAACTCAATTATTGCCTTCAAAATGGTCTTAGTTTTATTGGTAGGATTTAAATCTGTTGTCTTCTTTGTTGTACAACCATGTGTTCACTTACACAGACAATGGTGCACAGCCTTGTTGGGATTATTCCTCGCACCAGTGACAACCCAGTACACTGCAATTAAACAACATTCTATGTAACATTTTGCACCATGGATCCCAAGCATTTTCAAGAATTTTTACCTTTGCATAACCTGCTTTGGAGCAGCATAAATCTTCCATATGCACTCACATTTTTAAAAATCTTCTCTTTGGGCTGTCCTTTTTTTGTATTTAGACTGCTTCCTCCAACACCCGAATCTTGAACTTCATCAAATGTTCACTCTTTACAACTCCAATGGAGCTTCTTAATAGGTTTCAGAATCAGAGTCATTAAGTTCATCTTCTTCTGTATATGTGTAGCCATCTTCCCTGCCAATGTTGTTGAAACTACAATAAGAGCTATGTTCACTCCTGATAACTGGCAAGGAGTCAAAGGTGACAGTTTTTGAGGTGTTGGTGTAATGATTAATGGCATTGAATGTAAAGGAAGGTAAGGTACTGCTTGATGAAACAGGCATCATTGTGGCCAAAATGAGAGCTAGGCAATCAGCCACATCCTTGTTAGGAGCACAGGCCAAAGCTGGTGTATAACCTATAGTCAAAACACAATCATAATTTGGTTTAGAGACAGGCACAAAATCTTTGCATATTTTCTAGAAGACCACTTATTGGTACAGCAAAAAGTATATTTTCCTTAGCTTGTATTGCATTTGTCAATAAAGTGATTTGATTTCAATATACCTAGGCATCTAGCTTCGTAGAAGAGAAAAAGTACTCCTAGAATGGTGCAATCCTTTGTGTCTAGCACATGTGCCCTTGTATGCTAGCCAGGTTTATATATGGCAAAAATATGCCTCTTTAGGCAGGAGAAGAGGGGAAGGGAATTGAGGCAAAGCAGTGTCACAGTGGTTCTACAAAAGAAGTGGAACATCATGCAAAAGTAGTCAGTATTAAAATATGTAAGATAGATACACCATCCTTCTGAGAACATGAAAGACAGCCAGTTATATCCAATCTTCTGAATTAAGACAAGAAAAGCACCCAAAAGGCAAAGGGTAGAGAGAAGAAACCAGCAAGAAAGAGTTAGCAGTAAGGAAAGAGGAACTTTATTCTTTGTCTACTTGTCAATTATCCCCTGCAAATGTTCCCTCAGGAAAAAGTTTAACAATTTTTTCCACCAGCTAGTGGAACCTCATGGGAAAATTGGTGGGCATTTCGAAGGTTAAGCACCTTTCCCTCTCAATGTGCTGTTCCCTTGGATCCAACTACTCTTAAATCGACAGCAGACCAATTTGTTTCACTATTTCACTTTGGTATTCACAAAATCAAGGCTACTGTGTGAGATGTAAAGGGCAGAAATTTCCCAGTTTGATTACTTATGTGTTTCAATTACAGTTACCTGACTTCGGCTATCAAGAGCAAAGCCCTGAACTATTTTCACCTATATTTCAACAAATTAAGATAAGAATGATTCTTGCTTGCCTGGTCGATTATACCTTATGCAAGTTCTCATTAAGTACTATGTTTATTGCACATTACTTGAAATGTGTGTATTCTGGACTAAAGAAATGAACACCTTGCATGACTGCCTCTTATGGAAAAGACAACACAAAACTGTGCATGCATAAACAACCACCTCACTCACAAAACTAGAAATTGGGCTTATACAATGAAAATGACTGGGGGGAAGATTCACGACAGACAGAAGAAATTCCTGTATACACAACTTATAAGGAATTCATAGCCACAAGATATACTGATAGACAATGTTTAGACTATTTTAACAGGAATAGGTTTGTTGAGGATATTAGCAATAATAGCTAAATTAAACCTTTGTGTTCAGAGATAGAATATTTCTAAATTCCATACAGCATAGGAGAGGGGTGTTCCCAGATGAGGTTCATCTGGATGGCCACTGTAAGAAACAGGAAGCGAGACCAGTTGTATCCTTGGTTCAGTTCAGCTGTTTTGCTTTACTTACCATTTTCATCTACTGCAAGCACACTTGCTCCTTTCCCTAGAAGTTCCTGGACTACAACTGTTAATCCATTTCGAGCAGCAACATGCAATGGCCTGCAGAGACAACACCTGGCTATGAGAAACCTCATTAAAAACGAACTCAGAGCATTCAGAATTTCTACAATAGAAAAAGTTGTTAGCAGGATCTGGCTGGACTGAATGACTTTCTAATAAGGTAAAATATTTTTAAAATGGCTTTTATGGATCTACAGAATTTACCTATTAGTAATATGGCAGATGTGGATGAGGAACATATCACAGGAGCCTAATCAACTTTTTGGATCACATCCAGAGGTCATTTCGGGGGGGATCGCAGGGGATCGCAGTTCCCCCGGGTGAGGTATGGGGTGCGGGGCACATGACGAAGCCCCGCCCCCCGCTTCCAGCCGCCCCGCTTCCGGCCCTCATTCAGCCAGGAGGAGGCAGGAGAACAGGGAGGGTAAGTTGCTTCCTCCCTGCCTCTCCCCACCCCTGCCTGCCTGGGGCCAGGGAGGGCCTTTGCGGGGGTTCCTTGCACTCCCGCCGGTGATGTCAGGGGGTGTGGCCTTATGACACCCTTCCGGTGATGTCAGGGGGTGTGGCATATGCTAATGAGTTATGCTGATGAATTCCCCTAGCTCTTTTTCTACGAAACGACCCCTGATCACATCTCATATAAGCCTGGAACTTTCAAAAACCTGGCTTAAATTTAAATGGGATTCTGAGGGTACTCCCTTGGAACCTAGCTGGTTGGAAGGGTTGCTTGTTGGATTTAGAGATCATAGATAGGCTAAGGGAATTTCAGGTGATCCTTCTGCAGGAACCTTGGGAACAGTATCCCTTTTATTTTCCTGGATATAAAATGATTAGATTATGTGTCCAGCTATTATAGGGATTGGGGGGGGGATGCCCCCAGGCTGGGCTGGCATGCTTGGTGACTACCTCTGTTGATGCCAAAGTTTTAGAAACCAATTGTCTGTTGTCCTCAACTTTACCAATTCTTTTATTAATGGTCTGTTCTTTATATTTATTTTTCTCTGTATCCCTCCAGTTAGCTCAGTATAAACTCTCTATTCTGATGGGCAGAATTACACTGTTGACTTGAAGGAATCTTCATGTAATTCCCTAGAACCAAGGTTTTTTTAAGGGGGTGACTTTAACACTAGGGTAGGTCCCTTGGATGAGACTCTCCATGGTAAAACCCCAGTTATCTGCTGACAACTTACCAGGGTGTTTTGAAAGAAGAACTAGAGATCAAAAGTTCAAACAAGCTGGGCCTCTGTTATTCATGCTGATTATTTAATTTGGTTTAGTAATGTTAAATAGATGGCTGGGTCTTGATCCCCTTAGAGAATTTACTTTTATTTCGATAAGAGGATGTAGTAGTGTAGATTATTGTTTAGTCAATTTTGCTGCTCTTGCTTTAATCACTGACTTTGGGGTTGGTGAGTTCTTGAGAGGTGACCATTTGCCCCTGATAGTTACTATCCAGTCCACTTTACCTAGCAAAAGGTCCACTGAGCCATTTGGAAACACAAGGGAAGGGTTTGAGAGCTGTTCTCTGGTTCCCATACCTAGGTTCTCTTTTGAATGTCAGATCTTTTATAAATTGATAATAAGTAGCACTGACCAAAGGAAAGGGATTGGTCTCTTTTCTAGATCGATGGAAATCTTCTCTCCATCTGTTTGTAAAGCAGTTCCAAGAAACTGGCTTGGCTGCCTGCCACTTCCCCAGAACACACTTTCCCGGGGGCACCTTCTGGCAGGGGGAGTAACTCAAACCCCGTAAATCTAATTCTCACCAACCTTGGAGGGCACATAGAGGAGAGTCAGCTGGAGATCCCCTGCAAGTCTGACATCTCTAGCTTGCACAGAATCTGTTCTATACACTTCTGAACCTGCCTCTGTCAAAATGACAGGTGGAGGTTCACGAGTGTATAGAGCAGATCCTGTGCAAGCTAGAGACACCAAACTTGGAAGGCATGTAGAGGAGCATCTATGGGAGGTACCCTGTGAGCTTGGGTGTCTCTAGGCTGCACAGGATCCATTCAGCATACACCTGAACCTGCACCGGTCAAAATGACTGCCTGTCCCCTATACTCCTCTACATGCCTTTCAGATGGTTGCTTTGGAGTTTTGTAAACATTTAGATTGAGCACAGACAGTCTGTATGGAAATGTATCTGTTCATGAACCTCCACAACCAGCCTGAAAGTTCGTGCTGGTTGTCCTGCCACAAACTTGACTTCGCAAACTGCAAACTAGCCAATATTTGTCATTAACTTTTGTTTGTGAGCCAGTTCATGCCCTCCCTACTTATAACTGAATTGTCAAGGAAAAGAAAGGTACTGCCATAATGAGATCCTGGCAGATGCCAATCAAAGCTTCTCAGTATAATCAGTCCTCTAGATTTTGGTCGATTGTTTCCTCTTCTTTAAAAACTAGAGATCTTTCTCATGTTATTACTGCTTAGATTTGGGTATCACATTTTTCGTCATTATATTCTAAGCCACATCATGATTACAATCTAGATGCCACCATGTCTCTTGATCTTCCTGAATGGCAACTAGTCCTATGTTCAGAGATAGTGAACCTTATTAAAGGACTCCATATTCAGAAGGCCACAGGTCCTGATGATATTCTGACAGAATTTATGATTAACAACACGGACTGGTGGGTGCCTCTTCTGGCTAATCTTTTTACTAGAGTGAACTCTACTGTTCCCTCCTGAATGATGTTTTAGTATAATTGCCCCAATCCATAAAGCTGGAGATAAGGACAATCCTAAGAACTTTAAACCCATTACTTTGTTGTCAGTTGTAGGGAAGATCTACGCAGCATTTTTGTTGAACAGACTTTAGTCTTGGATGGCCGATTCTAAGATCATTGGCCCAAAACAGGTGGGATTTCATAAGGGACACAGTACACTTGATCGCTGTGATGTGTTACCACGCTGGATTAGTAAGTATGCCATTTCGAGGAAGGGCTTGTTATATGCCGCCTTCATAGATTTTTTCTACACATTCAAGTTCCTTTTCTAGAACCCATCTATGGGCTAAACTGAAGAAAATCACAATTGACAGGCGATTGTTGTGGTTAATTAAAAATCTCTATACTGATTCTACTGCCCAAGTGTGATGTAATAGTGAGGGTTACTTAGCTACCTTCTTTCCTGTCGTCCAGGAGGACTTCTAGCACCATCTTTATTCAGTTTGTATTTGTCTGATTTCCCAGTTTTCTATATTGATCCTTTTCTGCATTTGCCTAAATTATTGGACATTTCAGTTCCTCAATTACTTTACGCAGATGACTCAGTTTTACTTTCCTGAACCCAGGTCAGTCTTCTTCAGGCTTTGAAAAGGTTTCATGCTTATTGTTTGCATTAATTTTACTAAAACTGAAATTATTAAGTTTGCACCTCGCTCTTCGACCAAAAGAGAGACGTGGCTAGTTAATGGGCGGAAGACCTCACAGGTTTCTTCTTTTAGATATTTGGGTGTTTTATCTCATTCTACCTTGTCCTGGAGAGGTCATTAACAATTGGTCACTCGGAAATCTATTGCTACTATGAAGACAATTCTGTGTTTCTTTTATTCTAACGGGGCACATTATATTCCAGCTGCTATTAGAATTTTTAACTCAATGGTGATTTCACAACTTTTGTATGGTGTCCTATATGGATTTTTGCTGTAGATGATTCTATGAATAGAGTACAGTCCTCATTCCTTCGGGCAATCAGAGGACTCCCAGGTGCATTTAATCATTGGCTGTTCATTATGAATGTGGTCTTAGCTCTATAGAAGCCTGTGCCTGGGTATGTGCCTTTACTTTTTGGTTTCATCTATTTTTTGAGATCCCAGAGGGTAGCCTGGCAAGTCTTATCCTCAGGGACTTTTATGAGGCTTCTGGTTCCAGCTTTTTGAACAGAAGTTATCTCTTGTAAACCTTAAGGTGGAGGATCTTTTTTCTTCCTCTATAAATAAATGCAAAGAACATGTGGCCAAACTGATTTATGCCAGAGATAAGAGTTATACTCATTTTGTTGCTCGGACATGTTCTCTGCTTGCCATGGGCCTTTCATCTAAGGGTAAACTCCCTTCTTATTTAGATTGCTTGGTTAATCCAAAGTTATGTAGGACCTTTATGCATTCACAATTCAGCTGCTCCTTTTCAATGGCATTGCTAGGTCATCTGCTAAAGATCTCTTTTTTGGATTGGTTATGCCCCCTCCCCCCTCCAGTCAGTAGACTCTTGTACATATTCTCCTGCAGTGTCCTTATGTGCTCCAGTATAGGCTAAAATGGATTATTCTACTCCAAGCTAACAGGGCAGTGTAAAACACTTGTGTTGGTACCTAATATGTATTTTGTTTCTCAAATTTTCTGTAAGCTGATATGACTGCAATGTTCCAATCTAACTGCATGGGTAGTATCCAGCAATCTGTCCGTAGATGGATGCAGATCTTTTCCATGCTCCCCCCCCCCCCCAATCACTTCTGACTGCCCAAAAAGTTGATTTCCAGAGCTGCAGGACTCACTAAGAGGGAGGCTGCACTATGAAGGGGATGAAGTTTCCACTCTGCCCTGTTCCATCAATGAAGCTGCAATTTTCATCCATTTTACTGACAAGAATAAAACTTTGTACCTATGTTTTCAATTACTAGACAAAGCTTTCTGTGCAGCTGATTTTTCAGTAAGGTTACAATTCTCTACGGAAGGGACTATACTTCTTAAATACAATGTTTTTTCTTCTACAACACAAAACAAAACAAACCAGTGTGTAGGACCAAGACAGACCTCTCCTGACAAAGCTGAAGTACTTCTAACTAAATCTTTACTTACGTTTGCAAGGCTGCATTGGTGGCATTGATGAGATTTCTATCTGTAATCTTCTCCAGTATTAACAAGGCACTAGTTTCATGACCCTAAAGACAGCAAGTATACCTTTAACACACACACATCCTTCCTCTAAAAATACATTTTCCCTTATCATTAGCATACATAACATCATTAGCATTAATAAATCAATTGGTTCTGACAAGGATGGCTTGAGCTATATGGGATTACAGACAGAAGGTAAAGTCAGTTTTAGACTGCTCCTTTCGCTGTACCAAATGCTGCCTCTCCCCATCCTTTCTATTTCAGATCCAAGTTGCCCTCCCCACCCCAGAGTCCTTCTTGTTACTCTAAGTGGGCCCAGTGTCTATACTGTCTGCTCAGTCTACAGAGTGGTACAGGTAAAGAGTTCCAACCACCAGTCAACCTTAAACAACAGGCCACTCTTCCTTAGGAAAGACACCGTCTCAGCCTGAAATTCCTGAACTATTTGCCTCACAATGTTGTTCAGAGTATAAAGTAAGGAAGGTAAAGCACTTCCACTCGACGTTCATAGGCTAGGGAAGTAAATTCTTTCCTGTTGCAATTCAAGTGCTGCACTGTTGCTGCTACATTAAAAAAAATTACTTCAGTAGAAAAACGACAGCACTAATAAGAACAAGGGCACCAATAAACGACAGAAGCCTCCAACTGGAAAACGATACATACCTTGCTGCAAGCCAAATGCAGTGCTGTGTTTTTACATTTATCTTGCAAGGTCAGGTCAGCTTTAGCACTGCTTACCAACACCTCTGAAAGACATAAAGGCTAAAATTAACTCAAAAGAAGCAGTTACAGTGACACCCTGGATGACTATGAAAAACAAGTGAACAACCCAGAACTGAATTTTGTTGGTCTTAAAGGTGCCGCTGGGCTCAGAATTTTGTTCTGCTGCTTCAGACCAGCAGAGCTACCCACCTAAATCTATGAAAAACAAGTATATACAATAAAACCCATCAGTAGAGGTTATTCTCAGTTCTGAAGTGTTATTAGATCATAAAGATTTCCCACCACAAAATGTAGTTTTTGCCACCCTGTAGCTCTTCTAACCCCCTTTCAGGCCACTGACAAATGGAAAAATACTATTCTGCCCCAGTCAACTTGGCCCACAAAGAAGCTTACTCTGAAGGAAATTATGGTTGCTTTAAAATTCTGTGTGTATATTTGTTATTTTTTTTCTTGCTTTGCATTCTTTGGTTGTTAAAAATAATTAAAATATTAACAGAGAAAGCTACTGTGGTTGTTGAGCCAGTTTGCTTTCAATACTTACACACAACCCTTTACAATGCTAAAAGTAGGGTTCTGGGTTTTTTGTTTTTGTTTTTACAGTAGCGTATATACTGATTATTAGTAATGAGAAGATACAGGAGTTTTTTTTACCGACTGTATTTGTTTGCCCATTTTCTGCAGCCATCATTAGAGGAGTCTTCCCAGAAGAATCTACAGAGTTTACTTGTGCATTATGGCTGAGCAAAAGCTGTAAGCACTCTACATGGTCTGTAAAGGCAGCAGCATGGAGGGGAGTTCTGAGGAGAAAGGGGGGAGGGGAAAGAGTTCATTTTGCAGATGTAAAAGTGGGCTAATTATAAGGCCTCAATAAGATTCTACTCAGAAACATGAACTGTACAAAACATGCTTAATAGCATGCTAAATATTTAAATCCTTATGTTATCTATCTATAATAAATACGGAAAACAGGCAAAAGAAAACTACATTTATTGAATTTCATAACCTGCCTTATTCTGGGGTGTGGGGAGAGAACAGAGCTACAGGAAAACACAAGGAAAGTGACTACAGAAGGGTGTACGTGAGGGTGAACAAAATAGGCTACAGCGACCCGGACTAAGGTCCCATACCCCATGGCTTTTTAACCAACCAACCCCCCCCCCCCATGGCTATATAACCCAACACTTCCCACAGCTAAATTCTGGGCACGCTACCACAGAAAGCCATTTGGGTAACACTGGTTAATCATCTAACAGAGAACCACATGGCTCCTACTAGCTGCATCTCACACTTTGTCATGATTGGTGAACCATGTGTAAGACCTGGCTGGGGAGGAGAGAACAGAAAAATATGGGGGGGGGGGAAATCTTTGGGAATGAGTGAGATGCTGTTTAAGACAAAGCTTTGCTCATTCAAAATGTGCAGTACGTCAAACAGAACAATTTTATATGCTATCCAAGTTCTAAATAATTAATTTTATGTTGAGAAAACAGTAAAAAAATTAGACTTATACATATTGTATATGGGGTGGATCACATGCAGCATTTTCCCGTGAGATCCACCTCATATTTCAATTTTTTCCTGATTTCCAAATTTCCCAAAAAAATGTGGTTTCTTGAAAGCGAAGACATTTATATTTTGATTTGCATAAATATACCAAAATGTAGAATTTTATATAGTACCTATGTTTTGTTTTTAAAGCACGTTTTGTTTTTAAAGCAGTAATTTAAGTTTAGGTTTTAGAAGGAATCAAGTAGTGCATATATTTTAATTTTCCTCAAATTTCCAAAACATAGCCATTATTTCCCTCTCTTCTGCTCACCGAAACCAGCACTGGAAGGCTGACAGTACGGTTGTGTTATCTAACCACCACCACTGAGGGCATTCATTTCTTAATGTACAGGAGCTGTTCCTATTATTGGGGTGGTGGTGTTACCCTCCAATGCATTTTTTCCTCTGATTTTTCTGCATATCTGGGGCCTTTTTCAGCTTTAAAAAGTATCCTGCTTGGCTGCCCATGGCCCCAATCTCTGATTCAGGTACCCACAGATTTGGCCATGTTGAAAATCAGATATATTGATTATTCATACAATAACGTATATATGCTCAAAGAGGAATTATGGCAATGAGTTGCCCATAAAGAGAATCCAGAAACTTTAGCTAACATACACTGTAACGGTACATCTTTTGATGGAGTAAGATTCTGTCACCCACACCTATCTATTACCTTTTGGGCACAACTCAAGAAGCTATTTACTTACAGAAGGGCAACCTTTGTGCTACATTGAAACAACCAATATGTGAACTTGAGCCTTCTCAGCTAATGTTCTTACTGTATTTTGTACGGATATTTTGATTCAAAAGGGCCTTGATTTTATATTACGAAGGACAAAGAAGCAGATTTTAAAACAAAAAATACACTTTTTAATACAACATTTACAACCTTACCTTCCTTTTGCAGCTGTGCAATTTACAACGCCAGACCCTAGTGTATCAATTAACATTTCAGCAGCACCTTCGTTATCATTGATCCTATCAAAAATTTAAAAGGCAATTACTTCCAAAATAAATGAAATTCATTAAAAGCTGTAATTATAATGACAATAAAAGCTGTAATCTGCCATAATAATGAAGAAGCTGCTTACACTGCACAATGCAATGGGCTGAAGGAATTCCCTTCCAGTTTCTGGAAAACGTCCTGCTCCAAAAGAAGTTCCACACAACTGTCATGACCTACAATGGCAAGCACAAAATAAGACAAACTAGGAAACTTAACTACCAGAACCGTAAATACTCTTTGGTCTTTCATTAAATGATGTGCCACCTTAGAAACCACACAAGATCTTGACACACTCAAATGTTCTCTTTCCCCTCCCTGTTGGACTGCATCCACTACTTACCAGAAAGGGAGAAGGAGCACGTGAGCAAAGCTGCTTTTTGGAAAAGCAGGCAGAACAACAGGAGGATTCAATTAATTTCTAGCTGTTTATGTGCTTTGGGGAGTCAACTGCTGAAATACTCATAAATCAATAAAATGTTAAGTCAGGTAATTTTAAGTCCTGGATGCCTTTTATCGGGTAACTATGACACTTCCATACATTAACTGTAACTGCCATAATAGTTATGGTGCTGAAACCAAGAGAGTAAGAGATTCATGCACTCACCCTACAGTTACTGCAAAACTGCATGGGACAGCTGCTTTTCTTCTTGTTTGTTTATTGTTTGTGAACCGTGACACCTTTTTCCTGCCTGTACTGAACGATTTACAAGCATGCATGGTTGGCAACTGGCTGCTTCTTTCAGAGTCCATGACCAGCTGAAACTTATTAATATGCAGGTCTCCATAACAGGGCACTGCAGATAACTGCTTGCCTCTGGAAATAATTCTTCTGTAGTTATTCTGGATGGTGCAATTGTTTGTTAAATTCCCTGACTACAAATTTAAAAATGGCAATGAGTTGGGAGGTGTGAGGAGACTGAGTAGAGCTTGAAATTTTCAGCACCACCATTGGGCTGGGGGGGGGGGAGCATTAAGCACCAATGCTTGATAAAATCACAGTCCAATTATTGCTGGCTGGAGAGGAGAGCAGAAAAACAGGATCCATAAAACTGTGGGTTGGATCCTGTGGTTCATGGAAGAAGGTGCTGGTGGTGGCAGATCTTTTCCCTTCCAGCAACAGCTTTTTGTGACTGCTCCAAAGGCAGCGCTAAGCAGAAGCGTGAAGACCTGGTAAAAAATCAGGACATGTTTTTCTGTTCTGCTCCCCCCCCCCCGAAAACGTGAAAATTTTTATACAGCACTGAAAAATACTCCTCTGAAAAATCTTTTGGAATAAGTAAAATGCTTTTAAAGAGGAGGTTTTACTCACTAATGAGTATTTTTATGTAAGACAATCTGCATCATTAAAAGATAATTCCTCTGTCTACAACAAAATTTCAAGGATGTACTTACCGTACAAGTGTGTATAATTTTTATCAACAATTATTATAATATGTTTGATAATAATACATTATTGAAGCGTTTACCGTTTTCAGTGTTATAAAGTTATGTTTAACTTGCTCTCCAAATATGCTGGTATTCCTATAGTGACTGAGACTGTTTCTGTTCAAATACTACACCTTTTTATTTAGTTTAGTAAACAGGACTTTATTTTTCCTGCCTCTCAGGTGCAGAAATTAAGATATCTCAGCTAAGATAGCTGATGGTGCAGCAATTTGCAGTGCTCTCTCAAGCACTGGGTATATTTGCAGCTTTACTTCTTGAAAGCAAAGGCATTTATATTTTGATTTGCATAAATATACCAAAACATACAATTTTAGGTAAAGGTAAAGGTTCCCTTGCTCGAAAGCCAGTCGAATCCGACTCTAGGGTTGCGGTGCTCATCTCCGTTTCAAAGGCGAAGAGCCAGCGCTGTCCGAAGACGTTCCCGTGGTCATGTGGCCGGCATGACTAAACACCAAGGCGCACGGAACGCTGTTACCTTCCCACCAAAGTGGTACCTATTTATCTACTTGCAATTTCTCACGTTCGAACTGCTAGGTTGGCAGGAGCTGGAACTAGAGACCGGAGCTCACTCCGTCATGCGGCAGCTCGGTCTCGAACTGCTGAACTACCGATCTTCCACAGCCTGCAGTTCAGCGTCTTAACCACTTGAGCCACCGCAGCTTTTTAAAAAAAATTTTATATTTTTTTTTTATATAGTATCTAACTTATAAACGACACGTTTTGTTTTTAAAACAGTAATTTAACTTTAGGTTGTAGAAGGAACTAAGTACTGCATATATTTTAATTTTCCTTAAATTTCCATTTGTTTCCAAAACACAGCCATTATTTCCCTAGCACCACCAGTGGCTTCCAGTTTTCTAGAAATCTCTTGCAGAGGGATTATGGGATCTCTATAGACAAAAAGCCACAGGAAACAAAGAGCTACAGCGTGAAGGGGAATCAGGTAAAGTCCTCCCTACTTGCTCTTGTGTCAACAAAAACTTGTTCTGTTATGCTTTGATACACTTTTTGGCATTAAACCAAGGTATGGAGGTGATTTTGATTGATTTCTTAATGCAGTTAAGCCCGGTGCCAGCATCGAACACCATTTGTCTGTTTATACATACACATAAATTTTCACTTTTCATTTCTGGTATTCTGTGAAATCCAACTGTATTTACCATTGTAACAGGCCCAGTGCAATGATGTGTATCCCTGATTGTCTGCTAGGGGAGGTACTGCCTCCCCAGATGCCACTGGCTGTAAAAGCGCTCCTAATACCCCAATATGTCCACACGCAGCTGACAAATGTACAGGTGTCCGTCCTCTGCAGTCTCGTAGTGTAGACTTAGCACCATGCTGAAGTAGTGCTTCTACACACTCCTCGTGCCCAGTAACTGCCTGCAAAATACAACAAACACATTTCTGCAGGCGCTGAGATGAATCAAGGGAAAATCAAGACCTGCCTGTGTGATTCCTTAAATTCTCTACTATAACAGGAGTGCACATATCAAACAGTTATGTGATGTAACAGATCTCAACTGGAGCTGTGACTCCCGCCCCCTGCCCCCCCCCCCCGGTCTCTGCTTTGTGATGGTGTCTAGCTTCATTAGTTCCCATAACTGATGGGTAGAGAGGCCACACCACTGCCTCTCAGTGGCTTCTCTGGGCTAAGAGGTAGGACTCTGACCTTCACAATGGAAAATTTCTTTGTTGCATCCTAAGGGCTTGCATTTCAACTGGAAGCCCGAAATCCAATGGAGAAATTTCCTCATTAGAGTCTACAATATTAGCCCTACTCATTCAACTTCAAGAAATGGGCAAAACAAGGCAGATAGTGTCTATAAGCCATATGTGCAATGAAGTTTCTGTAATTTTAGAACAAGTAAAAGCTGATATGTGTTTCTCTTTGTGTAAAAAAAAGGGGGGGGGGATGAGAAGAGAATGGTGACAGTGGCTTCTCTTACCCCTCTGTGTAGTGCTGTTCTTCCCCATTTATCTTTGGCATCTACTTTTGCTCCTTTGTTAAGCAGTGAATAGACACAATCTGTATGCCCGTTGAGAACAGACAGCATCAAAGGAGTCCTAGAAGAGTAAAAAACGAAATAAGAACATATAGATTTTCACAGCAAGTCAGACAGTAGGGAAGAACAACATTAGCAAATACAGGCCTGAGGCAATCCTCGCCACACAACCAGCAATCTTGCAATATGTGCAAGTGAAGCCAGTCCCACAACAGACCAGGCGCCAAAGACAGCACATAAACAAGTGAAACCACCATGTGCAACATGCTGTGATGCCCCTTACAGAATGACACTGTATCAGCCAACAAGGGACAACAATGTCAAAGTTGTCTTGATATTATTTTATTTTCACAATTATTTGATGATCCCTCTAGCAACAAGCCAATTTCACAATTCAGCTGTGTGAATGAACTCATGATACAACAATCACACTAGCGTAATGCAACCACTAGAACCTGTTAAGAGACAAAAAGGAACCAATAGAAGTGTGCAACATACTGTCCATTTCCATCTTGAATGTCCACAGCATTCTGTGGCTCTGCATTTCCTATCAACAACCGCAAGCATTCTGAATGACCATTTGTGGCTGTAAAATATTAACAAATAAAACATCAGAAAGAGCATAATAATAACAACAGCAAAAAGGGTTCTAAAATCAACCCTTCTGGATATTCACTAAAAACTGGTTTCATACCAAATTAAATCTCTTCAAAATACTCATAACTATAAGGATCCTCAATATATGTAAACATTATTCAATGCTAAGAACTAATATATGGCAACGCTATTTCTGAATTATAAAACTATATATATGGTGTACATACTCCTTTTAATATATATATATTTCAAATCAAATATACACACATGTAAACATAAATTAAAAAGCTCACTGGTTATTTTATATATGACATCCCACTGTTGACCCCCCCCCAAGCACCAAGATGACAGAGCATCACTTGCCCCAGAGTCCCTATCTATACCTTGTGGCTAATAGCCACTGATGGACCTCTGCTCCATATGCTTATCTAATTCCCTTTTGAAGCCGTCCATGCTTGTAGCTGCCACCACTTCCTGTGGCAGTGAATTCCAAGTGTTAATCACTCTTTGGGTGAAGAAGTACTTCCTTTTATCCGTTCTAACCCGACCGCTCAGCAATTTCATGGAGTGCCCACGGGTTCTTGTATTGTGAGAAAGGGAGAAAAGTACCTCTTTCTCTACCTGCTCTTTCCCATGCATAATCTTATAAACCTCGATCATGTCACCCCTCAGTCGTCTTTTCTCCAAGCTAAAGAGCCCTAAGCGCTTTAACCTTTCCTCATAGGGAAAGTGTTCCAACCCTTTTATCATTCGAGTTGCTCTTTTCTGCACTTTTTCCAAAGCTATAATATCCTTTTTAAGGTGTGGTGACCAGAATTGCACACAGTATTCCAGATGAGGTCGCACCATTGATTTATATAGCGGCATTATGATATTGGCTGATCTGTTTACAATACCCTTCCTAATAATCCCCAGCATAGCATTGGCCTTCTTTATTGCAGTCACACACTGTCTCGACATTTTCAGTGAGTTATCTACTACAACTCCAAGATCTCTCTCTTGATCTGTCTCTGCCAGTTCAGACCCCATCAACGTGTATTTATAGTTAGGATTTTTGGCTCCAATGTGCATCACCTTGCACTTGGCCACATTGAACCCCATTTGCCATGTTGACGCCCACTTGCCCATCTTTGACAGATCCCTTTGGAGTGCCTCACAATCCTCACTGGTTTTCACCACCCTGAACAACTTCGTATCATCCGCAAATTTAGCCACTTCACTGCTTACTCCCAACTCCAAATCATTAATGAACAAGTTAAAAAGCAGTGGACCAAGTACTGATCCCTGTGGTACCCCACTGCTTACACCCCTCCACTGGGAGAACTGCCCATTTATACTCACTCTCTGTTTTCTATTAATTAGCCAGTTTTTGATCCATAAAAGGACTTGTCCTTTTATCCCATGATTTTTGAGCTTACTTAGGAGCCTTTGATGAGGAACTTTATCAAAAGCTTTCTGGAAGTCAAGGTAAACAATATCTATTGGATCCCCCTTGTCCACATGTTTGTTCACCCCCTCAAAGAACATTAACAGGTTAGTGAGACAAGATCTTCCCTTACAGAACCCATGCTGAGTCTGCCTCAATAGGTTTTGTTCATCTATGTGCCTACTAATTCTTTCCTTAATAATGGTTTCCACCAATTTACCCGGTATCAACGTCACTGACTGGCCTGTAATTTCCCGGATCTCCTCTGGAACCCTTTTTAAAGATGGGAGTGACATTAGCTACCTTCCAGTCCTCAGGAATGGAGGCAGATTTTAAGGAAAGATTACATATTTTCGTAAGGAGATCCACGAGTTCACATTTGAGTTATTTCAGAACTCTCAGATGTATGCCATCTGGGCCTGGTGATTTATCAGTTTTTAAGTTGTCTATCACTTTTAGGACCTCCTCTCTCGTCACCTCAATCTGACTCAGGTCTTTCAACACCCCTCCCGAACTCAGCGGCTCTGGAGTGGGCAAGCACCTCTCATCTTCCACAGTGAAGACGGAGGCAAAAAATGCATTTAGCTTCTCAGCCATTTCCCTATCATTCTTCAGTACTCCTTTTACCCCTTGGTCATCCAAGGATCAGCTATCTAAAATGTTTGCATAATGATAGCCCACTACATTACATCTAAAGAAGTGAGCTCTAGTTCACAAGAATTCATGCTGGAATAATATCAGTTTTAAGTGGCCACTAGACTCCTATTTTTTTACGAGAACAGATCAAGATAGCTTAGAAGCTAAAAATGGTGTAGGAACCATTTAAGCCCTAACTGATGCAGAGTCTCCCTGCAACGAGATCAGATGCCAATTTTACCACCATTATCTATTCAGGCAATACTACTGCTGGACCTAATAACATCAACCATATGATCAGGTGCCTATTCATCTGCTCATCCACCAACATGATACATACACTCTATTATTTGTCAACAATATCCTCTTTTATCTATTTAAGATAAATGAATCCATCTTTACATAAAATAATGGACAAAAAATTGACATCAAAAGAGGCAACATTCAGAAGCGTGGGGAAAACATTTTAATCTACAGAACACACTGATGCTAACCTAAAAAATGCCATTTTAAACCAAGGAACTTCAAAGGCATACTCCAACAAGAAATTGCTAGACTAGTATGTATCAATAGGGCTATAACTCTTTCATGCACAGACTTTTAAAACTTTTTTCTTTCCCTCTGCTGTGTATGTATTTCACTGACAGAGGTTTCATTTCACAGATATCACCAAGTGGGCTCTTACCCACAAAAGATTAATGCTTCAATAAATTTGTTGTGGCTATATCCTGGAGATCTGTTGCACTACTGGAGGTGCTCTCCTCTAGCAGAATGACCCTTTCCTGTTTACAAAGGGCTCTTTTTGCATCAGGAGAAGACTCTTTCTGCTGGAGAAAAATGCCTACATTAGCACAATGGATCCATGTAATACAAGACTTTTAGTCAATGCTAAACCTAAACAATTTTAAAACCATCAACCTTAAAAAAACAGCAGGAGAATCAGATCTTCAGAGCTATCCCCATTTTTCTATTTAATACCTCATAACAAAAAAAAAATAAGCCTCATAAGATTTACCTGCAGCATGTATTGGTGTTCTCTTTACAACATAGTCTTTCACCAAGATAGATGCTCCCTGATTAATGAGTACATCCACACATTCAACATGTCCCTTAAAAGCAGCAAGGTCCAAAGGCGTTCTTCCATTATTGTTCCGGACATCAAGATCCAACAAAGACTGCACTAACACTTCCAAAGCGTGATGGTGTCCATGGTAGGCCTGAAAAATGTTAATGGAGATGCTATTGAAACACATCATAAAAAATAAAATCAGATTTGAAGCCAAAATTTTGACTTTTAAAATAAACCTTGCAGATAGGCTTAAGCATTAGCAAGTGTGAGTAATTACTGGTCTGCAAGCAAACTCCAAATGTGAGTCAAAACTATGTTAAATCACGCAGAAAAATGTGTGCATGCTTTAAAAAAGACCAATAATCAATATTTGTTGAACTGATTACTTACAGCTAAGTGCAATGGACTAATTGGTGCCCTGCTGTCTGAATCATTCAGCATGTCAGTTCCTGAAGTTTCCATTAGCTAAACAAGAAAAACATAGTTGATAGTGCAATAAATAATTTTAAGCTGACAGACATATTGCAGAAGCATATGAGTTCATTGACAGTTGGAGCACCAAGTTGTGGATTTAGGTTTTTGGATTTTTTAAAATAATCGTTAATTTATATAACAATTTACAGTAGCACATACTATTAGGAAACCACAACAATAACAACATAATTACAAACACAAGAAACACAAGAGCAATAAAACCAAACAGCTATTCAATATATAGCTATAACCTTCAAATTATCAGGAAGTGCATTTTTTAAGCTTATTATATCTTTCCATATATTCAAGAAAAGGAAACCAACATTCCAAATAATCTGAATGAAACTCCGGATTCTCCGCCAAAAAAATAACATCTGATATTTTGTCCATGACCAGGTATTCCTATAACTTATTATTTTTCTTCTCCCAGATGGATTCCTGGTTGACTACTGTTGCTATTACTTGCCTAAACACCAGCAGGTGGGCTGGGAATTTGGGGGGTGGGGAAGATCCTATGGTGCTTCCACTGATCTACGGAAGAGCATAATAGGTTTTCTAAGGCACTCTGGACTTCGACAAAAATTAGCTATTTTCCATTTTTTGTCAAATAGCTCTGTTTCCCTGGGGCTAATTTGAAAAACAGCTGAGGAGACAGCAAATATTGATGTGTAAGCATAGGACGTTTTGGAGATTCTTAATTCATAGGATCGCCGTTAAGTTGGAAGCAACTTGACAGCACTTAACTGTTAAGTTGGAAGCAACTTGACAGAACACACAAAACAGGAAAATATGCACTTTATTATTACTAGGGTATAAACATTGTGAATATATAGGTATTTTCATATCAGGTATCTTTATACTTACAACATCTAGAGGCGTTTCACTGGCAATCTGAAATGAAATCACACGTTCAAATTAAATGCTACAATAAACTAGGAAATCTAACACACCAATACTAACATTCAGAAGCAAAAAATACCCACTTCCTAACTTAAATTAATATGCACAAACAGCCAGTAATCTAAGTACATATAATTCTTGGAAGATCTATTTTCTGTCTATTTCATGTGTTTCCTGAACAGCAGCTCTTCATAACATAAGGCAAGCCCTTTTGAAAATGCAGTAAACTTTCAAGAGTTGTTTGTGAGACAGCATAAGGACCCACAGTTCAAAGAAAAAAGTTAACAATCCCACTAGGCAACCCAAGCTCTCAAGTATGCTATAAGTAGGTCTTTGATCCCCACCTTAATTTTTAAATACAAAAAACAAGCCACAAACTGTGTTACTAATTTCACAAATAATGCTATTTTTTTCCAAAACAAAAA